GAAGACAAGAAAGATTTGACAGAAATATAGATAGATATGGTAAAATATTAACTCCTATTGCTTGGGGATTGTTATGGCCCATTCTAATTCCTTTGAATATTTATTATTGTATTATAATCTAAATAATAATATATAATGGGTATTGGTCAAAGTAAAAACGATGAAAATAACAGTATGGAAGACATTAAGAATTTAAGAGTAGATGAAAAAACAAGAGCAGATACTTTAATCATTAAATCTATTCAAGAATGTGTGGCAAGGATTGAAAAATTAGAAAAAGAAAAACAAACAAAGTTTCGTTATGCTATTCCAAAAGTAGATTTATGCAACTGGTCATTATTCTAAATTAATAACATTAAAAAATAAATTTAATGTTATTGATTAGTTATTTTCAAATATTGTGAAAAGTTGTTCATAAACATCTTATCTGGGTTCTTTTCTAAAAGGTTAATATATAAAAAACTATGCGGTTCATCAGTGGCAGTTTCATATATTTTATAAATTAATTTCTTGCTTTCGTGTAAATTATCGCTTCTAACAATTGCTGATAATTCATCTTGTAATATTTCTATCTCTTTGTAGTTTCTAACTTTATAATAAAACAAATGACTTATATTTACTCTAATAATTGGTGGCACAGTTGATGATTTTTGAAGACTGACAAGTGTTGATATTCCACTATGGCGACCTCTACAGAATAAAGAATTTAACAATTTGTTATTTATTGTTATTGCTGGATTATCAGATACATCATCCAAAATTACCAAAATATTAAATAATTTCTTCGTTCCTTGTTTTTTCTGGTATTCAATTATTTTATTTTGAGTTTCTATAACTCTTTCTAAATCTTCAACATTGAACTCATCCCACCAACACGGTTCTTTATCATTATCTACTTTCAAACCTTCCTTAATGTATTTTTTAACAGGCAACCAAATGCTATCCAAATTTACAGATGGGGACCAGATAAAAATTCTTTCATATGCTCCTCTATAAATATCAAGTATCATTGATACAAGTAGCGTGCTCTTTCCAGAGCCTGACGGGCCCACAATCATAGCTCTCATCGGCAATTTAGGCACGACCTCGTGCTTACTTTGCTTAAAGTCATACTTGATTTCATCAATTGGTTTTACATCAGGCATAATAAAATAATATTAAAGATATTTAGAAAAATATTTATAATTAATATTAAATGGAACATCGTTTTTTCATGGTATGATGACGGCAAATATCAATGAAAAAATGGAACAGGTTTTCCATTGCTTCAATCAATAAGCATTGAAGATAATTAGTTTTGTGTCTTGCTCGCGTGTGCAATGAAAACCCAAGTGCTGTGCCCCACCAATATTCTATTATGCATGAAAATAAATTATTTTTTAATAATTATTTCATCTTATTATTTATATGACTATTATCCATTGCAGTTGTGGTAAAACTTATGATGACAAATATTTATTTAAACATCTAAATTCAAAACATCATCAGAAATTTGTGGAATATAGATGGAATAAAGACGATACAATGAAAAAACTGTACAACTCTAGGAAAAAGAACTTTTTTCCTAGAGTTCTAGAACTTGATAGAACTTATCAAGTTCTATCAAGTTGTACAAGAAAAGAAAGACAGAAATGAAAAAATAATTTATCGTATTATTTAATATGGAAAGGAGTTATTCAGATTATATTGATATAATAGATGAAGTAGAGAATATAGAAGAAGTAATAATAACTGACAACAGATGTAAGAAAGTATGCTTTTATACATTAGAATTAATAAAATTAGGAATGCAATATATCAAAAATAAAAAAATGTAAATATTAATATAAATGGGAAAAAAGAAAAACAAAAAGAATAAAACAGATACTACAGTTTCTTCAACAGATGAAGACAAAGAAGAAATTGTTAAAGAAACAGCACTAACTGAGTTTGAGTGTCCTATGTGTAGAAAGATGTTAGCAATGAAGAACGAATTAGAAATTCAAAAGAAAGGAAATTGCAAATGTTCTTGTGTGCCATTAGGGTTTAAAATAACTAAAAATGATAAGAAAATGAATATTGATAAAACCAAGGACAGTATCAATCTGGAAACAGATGCACATAATATTTCTATCAAATTTGGAAATGAGGCAACAATGTCAAATAATGGAGATAACGAAACTCAGGAAACTATTAAACAAATGATGAAAATTTAGTATTCAAAGAGTAGATTTTACATTAAATCAATTTTATAAATAAATAAATATTTAAATAATTATCTAATTATTTGTATAATCATAATGCCAACTATGAATGGGCAAGATCATAGAATTATAACTTTTGATGATGAAGAAATTAATGATATATTCAATGGTGATGGAAACTGTTCTAAACAATTGAGCGAAGAATATTTTTATTGGTTTGATGCTAAATTCAAGGATAAATATTTTATGAAAGGTATAACTAAACCAGATAAATTTGTTAAAATATTGAAATTTTATGAACTCACAAATGACAAGGAAGGTTTAATAAAAATGAAAAATAAAATTGGTGAAAGACTCTTAGAATATAATTTATTTACATATGTAACATTATATTATTTAGGTAAACTGTATAATAAAACGCATAAATAAATATTTAAATAAATAATTATATAAATAAATATATATCGAAATGTCTGAAGTTGAGAATGATGCTATTGCTGAACTATCAAGGAAGATAATGACAGTTAGTAAAAATGTTAAACTGTTGCACGAGATGATAAAAACTATTGACCAGAAACTTGATGCAAAGGCATACGAACCAAAAAATAGCAATGAAGAGAAGGAAAAGATTGACAAAATCTTTGAAAAGAAACAAATAGGAAGGCCGTCTGGCAGTTTTCAAGATAAGCAAAAGCAATATATGGATATGTTAAATAAGAACAAAATTAAATCTCCAAAAACAGAAACTATTGAATTTTATAAACTGTTTAAGAACGAAGAAGGAAAATACGAATTAATATAATAAATTTCTAAATAATTATAATAATATGAATTTATTAGAATTATTTTCAGGCAGTGGTTCTGGGGATAATTATGTAATACATAAACAGGAAGATTTATACAAAATACCATCCCAATTAGTTTTGGAAATCTTCTGTAGTTTGGATTGAAACCCCCTGAAAGAAATGCCAAGGAGAAAAGGCGATTTAATGATGTCCGCAAAGTGGCGGCCAGGGTGGCCGAAAAGTGGCGGTCAGGGTGACCGAAAAGTGGCGGCCAGGGTGACCGAAAAGTGGCGGCCAGGGTGACCGAAAAGTGGCGGCCAGGGTGACCGAAAAGTGGCGGCCAGGGTGACCGAAAAGTGGCGGCCAGGCGGCCAGGGTGACCGAAAAGTGGCGGCCAGGCGGCCAGGGTGACCGAAAAGTGGCGGCCAGGCGGCCAGGGTGATCGAAAATGGTGGGCAGGGTGCTCCGAAAATGGTGGGCAGGGTTTATGACTAGTAAAATAGTCCATAAACCTTACAATAAAAAACATTGTAAGATTTATGTTTAAAATTATGGGATTTATATTTTGGGAATTTGGGATTTTAGTTTCAAGGAATATTGATTATAGGAATTTCTTAAAATGTATTTAAAGGTTTAATGACATTGTATTATAAGAACTATGGAAGGAAACATTTGTGTTTTAATTAAAGGTACAATGTATGAAGGAATTTTGGAAAACGGTTCATTCAAAACTGATAATGGAAAATTATGTAGAAACTGTGGTAGAATGAAACTATTTGACGAATTTAATAAAGATAATAAACAATGCAGGCAATGTTCAGAAAACAAAAGGAATAACCGAATTAAACATAAAGATAGATACAATGAGGAGCAAAGAAAAAGATATGAAGAAGATGATGAATATAGAAATAAATCACTTGAAAGTAATAGAAAATGGAACAGTATAAAAATTCAGTGTGTTATTTGTGACTGCTATTTTTCTCAATGTTTAAAAAAGCAACATCTTAAAACAAATAAGCATAAAAGAAATTTAGAAATGAAACAGGCAGAAGAAAATTAACATTATTTTTATTAATAAATATTTTACATAAAAATGTATAAGGTTAATATGTAGAATAACTTCTTAACCTTATATAATATTTCAATGAAGTAAAATTATTTTCAAGGAATTAGATAAGGTTAATGAATATGAATAATGTATTAACCTTATTTAAAATTTGAATTATAAACCTATATTTTATATTTTGCTAAGTTGTTATGAAAATTATTTTACTTCGCTCAACATCTGTTCTTGTATTTTCCCCCCCCCCCCCCGCAAAGCTTCAGTTGGGCGGCAAAGCAGGCGGGACATCCTGCTGGGTCCTGGCAGCCGGGAACTCGCATGACCTCATTCCACCTCAACGCCAGCATCAACGACATCAAATTCTCATCAAACCATGAGGCCCTCTGCCCTGCTCTAATCAATGACCCTGTAAAGCATTGCGTTGGAGGCAGCCTTTAATGCCTGAAAGAAATCCCGGCATCCCGACTTTGCAAAGGAATCGCCGCTCCTTTCCCAGTGCCCTCGCCACCGTTCATTGCACCTGGCCAAAGTCAGCCATGCCTTCCTGAGACCTAAAATGTGCTGCTGGGCCCCTCATGAACAATATTCGGGCGTGGGTCAAAATTAAACCATCAGGGGACCACCTGTTTTAGTCATGGGTTCCATGAGTACCCATTTTTGACCCACAGCCATTTGTCGTGGCTACACCTGCAACCTGCAAAGTCACTGCCTCACGCCAGGCGCTGCCGGTGCCAGCATAGGGCCGAGCAGGGCATTGCAGCGCTTGGCGGGTTTTAGCGAGCCAGAAAAGATGCGCGCAAAGCAAGCTGGACATGTTCAACTGGCCTCATTATTCTACCAGGATCAAAGTCACCCCCTAAGTGATGGGTTAAAGGGAAACAACCCAATTTTCTGACTTTCACAACCACTAGAAACAATCAAAGTAATGACCCCAGTTCAAGCCAGGTGGTTCAGGCTCCACACAGTGCTTCAAGCGCTTTGCAGGCGGGGCCTCATCTTCTGCACCGAGCGGCAGAAGAGGATGGAATCGGACCTCAACCCGAATCTGCACCCAGAGGTACCCGTCCTGCTATGCGCAAAACATGGCCATGGGTCCAAATCCAAATCGTGCCCCCAGTGAACATCCCAATCCCCACTAAAATAGGTTCTAAAATAGCTGGTGAATTCACCTACCCACCAAAATAGGATTCCAAAACGGTTTTGACCACCACAGCCACATCTTGTTCCAAGCAAACGGCACCACATCGAACATCATCATGAAGGGGAAGGCCACGGCAAAGGCCAGCACCGCCTCAGGTGCTAAGGAAACACCACATCTCGCCACCAGCGCACTGAGCGAACTGAGCCCCCAAGCCCCTGCCATGCACAGCAGCTCCGGCTGCTGAACGTAGTTCGGACTCGGCAAAACGGAAAATCACGAGCAGCACAGGTGCAAGTCTTGTTGCCACCCTTTTTTCTGGGATACCTCCGCGAGACATCCCGCACTTGAAAAGGGGGGGGGGGTCCGACACGGTAGCCTTGAAAGGGCCACTACCACAGGTCAAAACGAACAAAAAACTGGAAACATCAAACTGGCAACCTGGGAGGCCGGCCTTTGGATGCTGTGCAGCTCCGGCCGGCTCTGGCAAGACCAACACAGCTAGCGGTGGCTTGCTTGGAATGGTTGAATGGGGGGAAACCTAGGGCCCTCCCCAACCTCCAAGAAGGTTTTTCAGAACCTTGTCAGAAAGCTTCTTGGAAGGGTTCTCAGAACCTTTTTGTGGGTTTTCTGGGGACTTCTCAAGACAAACGACAATCCAAAAGATATGATCGGCACAACACCTGTTGTGGGAGATGTGCATTGAATATGTCATAATAATGAAATGATGGCTACTTCGCAAAGCAGCCTGCCTGAATCTCAAAGGTTGTGACCAGGTGGCCGATGCTCGCTATGGTACCTAGTGGTCAAGGTGCAACCCATCTTTTCCCAGGCAAAATTGCCGGCCCGAGCAAGCTGGCTTTTGGGGACCTGGTTCTCCCCGATGTGGCAGCAACTGCTTCGCAAGCCACTGTCCTGCCTAGCCCCACGATCTGGAACGTCCAGGTTGCGCCGTTGAGCACGGACACCGCGGAGGACTTGCCGGGGGCGCGGAGGCATGTCCAGAACAGTTGAACACTGGCCTAGGTACGCATCTGGAGCCCGCATACAACTTGCAACCCACGTGCGGGTGTCGGGGTGGGTGTGGCTGTTGTGCGGGTGTGGTGCGGGTGTAGTGTAGTGGTGGTGGAGTGGTGTGTGTGTGTGTGGTGTTCGTGTGGTTTGGTCTGGTGTGATGTGGTGTGGTGTGGTGTGGGGTGTTTTCAAATGTTATGTCCACTTGAAGCTATTCCCACTGGCACACACACACACACACACGCGCAAGCAAGCAAGCAAGCAAGCAAGCAAGCAAGCAAGCAAGCAAGCAAGCAAGCAAGCAAGCAAGCAAGCAAGCAAACAAACAAACAAACAAACAAACAAACAAACAAACAAACAAACAAACAAACAAACAAACAACACATGCACAAAAAAAACAACACATGCACAAACCACACATGCACACAATGCAGACCATTTAGAAGGTTAAAAGCAAGCACGTCATAGGCTCCGACAGTGTGGCTCTCCGGTGACCCGGCCTCTGACTCTAGGACGCTGAGCGCGTGCCTGGCGGCCTGGCAGAAATCGCAGACCCCTCAAAGGGTTTTAGGGTCCTTTTTGGGACCTAAAAGGGGGATTTAGAGCCCTTCTCCAGGGCTATGGGGGTGAGAGCCTCTAAACGACATCCTGTGACCCTTGCGGCTGGCCCCAAAGAGTCTGTCAACTGCACATTGCGCATGGCGTTGGACCAGGTTTTCACCCCAAGCGAAGCAGCTCCGGCCTCATCGAAGGGGCTCGCTTGCAGGCTGACATCAAGGAAGGCATGCCTGACCAATCGAAACCCAACCCTCCCAACATGATCTACATAGGATTTCTCCGGCCATGAAATGAAGGCGAATCTCTTCTCCAAATCGTCATGTGCAAATTTGGACTTTTGAGAAGCTCAGCAGACCATGTGCCAGGCGCTCCCCACCCGCTGGGCTCAGCCTCCCATGCTCTCAACCGCGCCTACTCATGACGTGGAAAAACCTGGCGGAGAGTCAAAGCACTGCGCAAGCACGGGTCGCCGCGCGACTGGCATTACTGGCTGGCCCTAGTTCAGCTAACGTCATCGCTTGCAATTGCCCGGAACTTGGCAGCCGAACTCCCAAGAATGCCGTGCGGGAAAAAGCACCGTAGACAAACAACTCGCTGCATACAGCACGATCCCCTCCGTGCCTCCTGTAGAAATGCAGGAAGCAGTCACAGCACCCGCCCAGAATGGCGCCCACGGGGTTGTACTGGCAGGCGCGCTTCAAAAAACCCTCGCATCTCGTTTCGGGCACTTTTTGGGATTCCATGAACTTGGGCGAGCGGGTTAGGACGTATTGACCAGCTTCGGAGAGTGAGCAAAGTCTCAGTAAATGGCCGCCCTTTCGCGCACCAAGGGGCTGCCAAAGCCTGAGGCTGAACCAATGCATCGAATCTCCCAGTCGGGGGGTGAAACCACAGCCCAGGACTGCTCACCTTGGCTCTGACTGGAGTGACTGGAGTTTGTGCGCTGGCCTGGTTCTTGGTGGTCTCTTCAAGCCATCCCAGGCTGATCCTCCAGGGCAAAGCCTGAGACTGACATGCCCTTCACGCGGCGTGAAGCCAAGTCTGCGATTTCACCAGGGAGACCTCCACAAGTGGCCATGGGCCACAAACCCCGTATTTTTTCTGTGAACCTCCCAATTCCCACTAAAATAGATTCAAAAATGGGTGGTGCACCCATCCAAAAATGGTACCATTGGTTTTGAACCATGGCCAAGTATCTTCTCGCAAGAATATCAAAGGCGCGGACGATCATCAGCTTCAAGCCCCCGCCGATCATGCCTTGGAAAACTTCCGGGGCCGTCAACGGGACAGCCAATTCCCCCCCGCACTGAAACCCAAAGATAAGAGTCCCTCCTTGACAGCGGGCCAATTCAAATAATCAAGCCTCAACCAATGAAGGCAAATTCCAATTTTTGAAGACTCTCAAATGAGAAGCCTGGCCGAGTCTGGGGGCAGAACTGCCTGCATGGTAGCGGATGCCAAGCCAGCCAGCCCTTGGGAGGTACCGCAAGATCAAATTGGGTCTTGCCGCTTCGCGGAATGCTCAAAGACGTCAAATTTCTATCAAGTGATGCGTCATGGGCACTGCAACCGCTATGCGGGCTGCAGGGCCTGCGGAAGAAAACAAGCTGCATGACTTAAAGTACCCGCCGCTGACTGAGTTCAAGCTTTTTGCGCTCGCCTACCGAATTAGGTGTCAGACTTCCGTGGTGTGCAAAGGAAAAAAGCTGCCGCACTTGAATTTGCTGGTCTTGTCCCTCGCGCCTGGCCACAGACAGCATCGGAGCTGACCCTTTGTTGCCTCAGCTGTGAACGGGTATGTTCATCCACCACCCGCAAAAGTCTGAACTTGAATTCCACCCTCATCCAAACCTAGACCCCGGGTCCAGTCCAACGTTAACGCGCGAGCTCGCATAACATCCGAGGCACTCATGCCGCCGGAGAAGTACCACATCTGGCCTCGAGCGCGAATCGTGCGCTGCCCACGGCCCCTCCCTGAAGCCCTTGGGCGCCCTTGGGCCGCTAGACTGGTGTAGTCTGTGACGAAGATGGTCCAGGCAGTGACTATGCCTTCCGCCCGTCTCTGCGTGTCTCCCAAGTACTCCAGTTTGAAACCTGCCAGCTGCCCAATTGGCCAGCCTTGGGCCCAAATCCCCATGAAGATGGTGCCGAAGAAGCACCTGGGCTGAGACTGAAGGAAGCCTGAAAAAGACTTACATCCAACAGTATGAGTGCAGCTATTGAAATCAGGCAAGTATCCAATCCGCGATGGGGCCTGCTTTCTCTTTCCGGGCAGGATCAGCGAGGAATGCCCCAGACAGCCCCCAAGTTGCCACTGGCTCGGAAAACGCGACGCCGATACAAGCAATCTTCTGAGGGCCCGGCGCCCACTGCACAGGGGAAAGCTCTAACATCGCTGAGGCCCAAGTGCTGTCCTGGAAGCAAGGCAACGAGGTCCTTTACTGGCCCTTTACAAGTGAAGGACCAACATCCTTCAGGGTCAAGGTGAATCAATCATTCCAATAGCCAGTTCTGTAGTGCGGCCTAGCCCCAGCTCTGCCGGTTACCCTATTGGGCGCCAACAATCTGCACACCATCCCGCACAGTTCCCTGCCCAGTCCGCACTGTATGAGACGATCCACTTGTACTTGGAGATGCCTGGCGTCCAAAGAACACAACTGAAACTCAACCCAAAGGCATGCGTGCGCCTGCTGAGGACAGCATCGCTCCCACCTTAGACCGCAAAACACCCGAGCCATTGTTAGGGCAAACGATGCGCACATTTTCACACCTGCACTCGCGTGCGCGGTGGCACGGCCAACATCCCTGCCCCTGCTGCAGCAAGCCTAGAAGGTCCGGGAAGCGGTCAGTCCCTCGGCTCACCTAGAAACCGGTCAAAACCCCTTCATTTTTTTCTAGAAACCGACCAATGTCCCATCTGGAAAAACCGGTCCAACTTCGGTCAAATACCAAATATCCTCAATTTCCAAATCCCCTCTACAAAACGGCCCAACTCCTGTCAAATCTCCAGAAACCAGTGTCAAATTCCCCAGAAGTGTGCACCGTCGGCTCTCGTTTCTGGCCCTTGAAGCCATGTGGAAACGCGGACATGCACCCACACCCTCCACCTTGGAAATCGGCTCGCGCATTTCGGCGCCGACTCACTCACTCTAACAAACACAACACTTCAAGGCAAACTAAAACACAATATATACCTCAAAGCCAGCCAAAAGCGGCCTGGCCGACACAGGCAACGCGAAGCGTTTGCAATTAGATTGGTGTCTGAGTCTGGCCCTACCCGCCCAACTGAGGCTGCAACATAGATGTGCCCAGCTACCAGCAAGCCTGCACAATGGCCATATGCTTAGCCGCTTAGCCCTTCCTGCATTCTTGAGCAGCCATTTGGACCTCCCCTGGCTATCGGAATGCCCGTGAGCAACTTCGCATTCACAAACCCCTCAAACTATTGGTCACACCGCTTTCAAACCCAAGGGTAACCCGTCAGGTTGTCTTGAAGGCGTACTTGGCTGGGGGGCTACTCACATGTCTAGCTCTGAGACAGCTCAAATCGCTCAAAACCTGCGCATCCCGTACCAGGCGGGGTTTGTGGTGGCAACAAGGCTATTGCAATGACTGCCTGGACACAGATGGAAGGCCCTCCTGTTCGCTGCGATATCCGAAGCGCTGCCAAAAATGGCAAGGTGAAGGCCTCTGGCGCTCAGCGTCACGGGCGGTAGCAGGTACAAGCTGGGCGTCTCCAGGATGCATTTGCAGGACCTTGGCCACTTGTGGCCGGCCCCAAGCCCCTACTCCTGCGCCAACGCTAATGGTCTTTCTTGGGTACCATGCACATTGCCACCAGAAGGAAGGGGTTGGGCAAACTTTGCTCAAACAACCTGACCATGGACCCCTAAACGGAACCTGAACCAGGTTGTGTAAGCAAGCATGCCAAAAACGCCAAAACAAAGGGGGTGGGCCCAAGCATCAAAATCGACCTGGAGGCAGCAATAAGTGGGCTGCCTATCCCCAGTAGCCAGTACAAGTAATTCAACTACCTTGCTGGCTGCCTAACAGGAAGATATGAAAACCAACACAAAACCACCCTGGGGGTCCCATATCCCATGAGTCGATTGGCCCCCCCGCTAAAAAAAAAAACAACACGGCACTGGGTCCAGCACCACTGGATGCACTGCACAGCCTGCGGGTTCCATGTTTTGACCCGGGCCTGTGTGCGGTTTTGGAGCAGGGAAGCATGTTAGTGCACAGGAAATAATACTCAGTCACTTTTAGAATACCCCCGTTAGAGGCTCCAGACCAGGTTGAATCCCTTCCCCATTTTTTGTCAGATAAAATAGGGTTTAGAATCCTATGAACCACTTGCCATTTGGGCAAGGGCTCATGAGCAAATCCCTTGATCTACCCCGGTCTCAGCATACCAAAAAAGGAAGCTTGGGACGGGCAAAGGCAATAGTCTGTAGTCTAATGTCAACTTCGGATTCATCCCGGTAACGAAACGGGTTTCGGGGTCCTCTGACATGTTGGGCCTCCGGGCTCATGCGAAGTCAACTTTACCCGAGCAAACCGCTGGGCTCGCGGCTGTCTCCATCCAGGCGCTCATCTGACAGGCCAGGCACAAGAAGCAGCCCCTGAGCACTGGCGAAGTCCAAACAGGCTCCAACACCAAAGCGCCCATGCGCACAACAACTGTTTTTGTGCGCGTGGCGAAGGCCTTCGCACCGCTCGGATTTCATTTGAGTGGCTTTCTCCACGCCCAGAAACACATGGCTTCCCGCTGTGTTGAGACCACGTGCTTTAGGCCATATGTCTCAGGACAGCGCCCAATTGTGAGGAGCCCTACGGCTGCTATTGTGTCCTGGCCGGAGCACTTGCACCTCTGCTAGCGCAATGCCGCGAGAGGCAAACGCTTGCAAAATCATGTGGGGTATCATCTGCTACCCTGGAAGTGCGGCAGAACAAACTACTTTCAGTGCGGAACCAGGGCTCACAAGTGTCTCGGCCGATTGAGTTGGCCGTGGCCACGAGAAAGGCCAAAAACATGTTGCTTGTTTAGAGGCAGCAGATTGATATCAACGCTGCTTTTGCTCAAACTGATTCAAGTATGTTGACACAAGTGCCAGCCGCACCCAGTGCTTGATGCCTGCGCCAATGTCTCAAACTCTAACTTGTCCGATGAAAACCGCCAGCGACTTGATGCGACTTGTGCCTCTTTGCGGGTTTGACTCAGTGGAAGCTCCTCCACCGGCTGCGCACCGCTGGCGCCGCACATGTCAGTCCTCCCGAGTTCTGCCACGAGACCCGGAATTCGAAGCCAGGAAAGGTTCTAGGCAGCTTCTGCGAAGGGCCCTTTTGGCGGTAGGGTAGTCTTTATCCTTCGACTCATTGGAAGGCCCTGCCCAGCCGTATCCTGTCCTCTGCGCGTCGGGACGGGCGCACCTGGGCAGGCGTGTCAGCACCCGAGCACCACGAGTGCATCGCACACCGCCTTGGCCCCCTGCCAAAAAAGATAAGCCGAGGTTGCTGTGGTGGCAGTCTGGCACAATGCGGCATGGCCGACTTTTGAGAAATGCATAGCTTTGTCCGGTGAAACATGCCCACGCCCCTGCAACTGCGCAACTGTCGCCTCCGAAAGGGCAATACGTGTTCTCACACTAACGCCTGACTTGTGGAGGAGGGTTCATCCTAAACTGCACAAGCCCAAAGTAGCACCCCATCCAAGCGATCGAAGCAACCTATGGCAGCCGGAAACCTGCACCGGCAACCTGCAACAGCAACCTGTCCGCACCCCTGGCTACACCAGAGAATCACCCTGCACCAATACCCGCGCTCGCACCCTTACCCAAACAGCATCACCCGCTATCCCAAAAGGTTTGGTGCCTGAACATGTCGTGGTTTCTCTGCACAAGTGCTGCGCAAGCAAGCTCACAGCCAGCCCGCGACTGAACAAAAAACTGGCCGGGAAGGCAATGACCACCATGACACCGGCCCTTAGAGAAGTAGTTGGGCCCAGGCGATCAAGTTTTTGCTGGCTCATCCTTTCATTCGCAACATCACCTTGAAGAAACAAAGTCCTGCCCAGTGGAATCAGCTGTTCAAGTTCTGTGCGTTTAAGGAAAGAATGGCAAGCCCGAAAGACTGAAAGAACCTAAGTGCCATTTCCAGCACAACCGTCTGCCAGCGGCCCACTTTTCTACCTGGCTCAGCCGCAGGTTGCATCGGATTTCCCGGAAGCTCAGCGGCCGCTTCGTCCCGCGTGCAAAAGCCAACTTCCTCGTCCAGCTGCATGCATTCATCATGACTCGAGTGGAGTCACACGTCCGCAGGCATGTCAGGTGCAGGGGGATTTTCCCGGGTGATTCCTTCCAGCCAGGCGGGCAGTGGAGAGGAGTCGAAGACAGAAGCAACGTGCGCGAAGCTCAACTCAGCCACATCTGCGAAACATTCCTCCGCGGTCTCCAGGAAGGGGCCAGGATATGTCAGCATACTGCTACAGCTTCCAGCACCTTGCGCTTCGGCGCAACATCCTTGGACATGAGTTGGTCTGGCAACACAACTGAAACGTGCTTGTGCCTTTTCCAAGCCCTCACACTCTGCCGCGCTAGCGCCGATTTGAACTTGCCTTCGCAACTTCAGGGCCAACTCCCATCTGCTTTGCAGGCGGTAGGGGCCAATACGCACGGCTCGAGTCTTTGCAAATGGGAAATGTCTTCAGAATCTGTGTGCCCAGGAATCCTGCGGATTCTTCTTCAGAATATCCTGGCCAACCCAAAACCTCCTAACCTTGGGCTCACATGGTAAAGCAAGCGACCGAAACGGCCATGGCCCCATTCCAAGGGCTGTCCCTCCCGGGCCTTCTTCCCAGCGTCCCGGACCTGACCCAGCAACTTGATGTCGGAGCTCGCGGAGTCCTTCATCATGGCCTGACCGCGACATGCCCGGCCGCCGGCCGCCACTCGACTTGCACCTTGAACTCTTCGAAGTCGATTGTGCCATCCCCATCCTTGTCGCTATTGCCCAGCACCTCGCATTCTCGAACACTTGCGAGCAGTTTGAAGCCACGCGAATCCGGCGTGAAGAGAACTGCCGAGAATCCTCCTCGATTCCGGGGAAGTTCTTCAGATCCAGCTCCTGAAGGCCCCAGCGCACATCGCCAGGCGCAGGGTGCGGCTTTGACATTTGATTCTTGGCATGCACGTATAAAGCGTCATGATAGCCGGGTCAAACATTTCGGCCTGGCTGGCAGTGCCAAAAAAAAAAAAACACAGAACCGACACTATGTCTCACCTATCGCGCCAAGCAATGCTTCAACGGCTCCCCCGCCTTACACATTCTCTTCCCTCCAGCCACATGCCACTCAAGTCCCAGCGATTCCAATCTCTTGCAAGCCTCTCACTGCCTATTTGACTTCGAAAATCGTTAACAAGAGGTTCAGGCTTGCACCGAGCTTTTTATATCAACGGAATCCGTGGTGCGCTGTTGGCTCCTTGGTCCTTGGGCCCCTGTGGGAGGGCGTGGGGGGCTTGGGGAGGTCGGCTGTCCTGGAAGGCCTCCGACTTCAGCGATTTGTAGAGCTCCTGTCGGTTGATGCGGCCGTCCCCGTTGATGTCGAAGATGCGGAAGACCACCTCGTGAACATGAAGAAAAGTGCCTCCCCTCACACGAGGCGAGACGGGTGGGAAAGAAAGAAAGAAAGACAGAAAGAAGCAAAGAAACAGAAACAGGGAGAAACACAGGGGGAAGTGTCGTGGACCCTCATCTGCGCCAGATGCTACCTTGTCAAAGCTCTGGAAACATGCTTGCTCTTCCCTTAACTGCAAGGAGGAGACCCATGATAAGCTTCTCGCTCCCTTCTTTCGTTTCAAGGCACACGTCGTGTGGGAATCAAAGAGGTGACAGGAACATTGATGAGCAATTAAATATAGCATGCCAATCATGAAAAAAGACGATATGAGATTTGCTCCCTGCCTCAATCCTTCAATCGTCATTCCACCGCTTTATCGGACTCCGAAAAGGAGGTGTTCAGGGTTCCAAAACCCGTTATGGAACGCTAGACTCATAGCGGGAGTCAGGAAGCTTGAAAATGACCAGCGAATGCCTCGTTGCTTGCGTGCACTGGCACAAAGAGCCAGGGAGAACGAGGGTCCAAAATAAAGTTGAATGCATGCCAGCCTGCAGAAAAGGAAGCCCACGTGCCATAACATCCGAGACGCCAAGCACGCGGAGTCCGTGGTGTAGTGCTTGCGGTCCTTGACTCGTGCCGACTCCACTGCTCAAAACGTCGATCTTTCCGGTTTGGCGGTTGCTTTCAAGGCCGTGGTGCCTTACTCTTTGCCATACGAGTGCCCACAAGCATCGCATACAGTATGAAAGGGTCCCCCACGGCAGGGCCACAAACGACTTGAGGCCCGGGCCATCATGGCAGCGATGAACTCCGGATAAGAAATAGTGGCGCTGCCATCCACATCCAGAATTTCCATGAGCCTCGCAATGAAGTGCTCATGGAACCGCCACCGCCCTTTCTGCTTTCCTGCCGCCTCCCCTCTCTTAACTGCTAAGCAAGCACTGCAGCAGCCAAACAAAACCATTTTGTCAACGGGCTGGGCAAGCAGACCAGAAGGCGCTGGTGCGGGCAAACCAGTATGGGGCCCAAGGTGCTCCCAAGCAACCTGGAAGGGCAGAGACAACAGGCTTCCTAGCCCTACCCGCCCTTCTTCAACAAAATACCGGCATGTGTGAGTGCACTGTGATTTCAGGGCCTTGTGTTAGATCTCTGGCTTTTGCTGATGGTCAAAAATGGAGATAATGCAAACTTTCCAGCTTGAGGGCTCAAACTTTGAACGCTCGAAGAATTCACGGTTTGTATTGCAAGAGGCCGTCCCGGCCGAGCAGCCGAGCTGCACGAGAACAGACCCTAAAAACACCGGCCTCGCAATGTCCTGGGGGACTGCTGCACGCGCTCGGTAGCCGCCCGTTTCCAGCCTACAAGTCCAACTGAATCATGCAATCACCGAGCTCTGCCGACTTGCGGGTGGACTCTTGACAAACATATGACCCTGTCCAGTCGGAGCTGCGTTTGCTGCATGGCATTCTTAAGCTCCGCCACGCACACCTGATAGCAAGAGAAGAATCCACCATTGTCTCGCGCGTGCCGTCCCAAAGCAATTCTGCTTGCGATATTGGTGCGGCGGAGTGGCGGTTCCGCTGTGGTCTGTGTCCACTAACTCAAACATCTCCTTATTTGGCGCAAACACCGGTAACTTCCCAAATGTGAACATACAACTCCTTTGAATGAAGGGACGGCTGCTTCACTCGGATTTCATGCCTATAGCCTGCAGTGCGCGAACTGCCCACTGCATCCATGCGGCCCTCATCTTCTCGACTTCTGGCCCACTCAAGTGGGAGGCGGCCATGTGGATGGCCAGCTTCTTCAGCTTGTCGGCTTTGCAGAACCTCTGCCTCGGAACCGCCTTTAGGTCTCAAGGGCTAACATGGGCGAGTGACAAACGACACTCTCGCAAAGCAACTGGAACTCGCATGCCTGCGCTCGCTGTTCACACGGAAAAACGGTCTCTCCCTCTCGTGATGCTTGGCTCTCCAAGGCGCATGTTCTCCAAGCAGCGGGTGGAGATCTCAATGTTCGGGGCTGGGGCCTGCGGTCGGCCACAAACTTGTTTACATATGTATATATGTGTGTATACTATACATGTACCAAGTTCTGGGAAAAAAAAAGCCCACACATTGACTCCATTCACACCGCACCCATCCCAAACTAACTAAACAGAATCACATTGCCAAGATTCCACATGCATTCCTTTCCTCAAGCGAGCTGCGAGAACTGCCCTCTGGCCATTTCCCATCTCCCCCCGGCCTCCTCCCCCTCCGCAGGCTCCTCTGGTTTGAAGAAGTGATCCGCGACGCAATCAGCTGCGCTGGGGCGGTCCGCTGGCGGACCCATCATCCTGCGGCTGGGCACAAAAGGTGGACTCAACGCAAGTGGCGTGCTCAGACGTAGTCGTGCTCATTGACAGGGTCTCGAAAACAAGACCAAAGCAACTGCAAACGCCTGGCCGTGCAAATGGGCACACCCCCAATCTGCGAAAGGTAAGCCGAGCTCGCCACCCTCAACAAAAACATGTTTGAGAGTAAGGGCAAGCGTGTATGGAGAACATAAGGGAGGCCTTTAAATCCCAGACCATCCTCGCGCAAGGCACAGAGATAAACCAAGCCCATCCGCCTGAAGACCAACACCCGGGCGCTCTTCAGACCGTACCAGGTGGCAGACTCCAAGCGGGATGACCCGAAGACCAGGGCGCAAAAGATGGCGCCGCCTCAGAAAGTGAAGGCCCAAGGCACCTGCCCTTGCCATGGGATCCCCAAACTTGTTTTGGAAGGGCGTCCACCCGAAAACCTTAGCCCATGAAGCCTGGCCTATCGAGTTGAGAACACAAGCCGCCAGTTCTGAAATGGCCAAACGCAACTCCCTCGCCTTTGCATCCCGGGAGCCAAGGGGCACGCGTAGATGTCACACGCCTGCGTGTGACTCGTCTGCTCGACAATCTCGGGACCTGAGAAGTCGTTGGCCGCCAAGAGCTCCGTCAAAGGCTGACCCTCCGTGAAGCGGCGAGCGGTGCTGAAGTCGGTGATGACCACCTTCCACTTCTGCAGGTCCTCCTCCTACGTGCTTCAAATTCCACAGCCTCACCTTGTGAACTGGCCATGGGTCAAAGCCCCGGCTAGCCCCCACTGAACATCCCGATCCAACCACTAAAATAGGTCCTAAAATGGGTGGTGAATTCACCAATCCCAACCAAAATGGGATATCCCAAAACGGTTTTGACCACCACGGCCTTAGCTGAGCTCCAGTCCGGAGAACCCCAGAAAGACCAAAAAACGGCGGAAATTTCGGCTCCCGCACCGGGCTCGCTCTCAGCGCTCGAGCGCTCCTGCGTCTGCAGGAACACCAGATCGGGGCTCAGCGAGCGGTGGCACACCCCCACGTTGTGCATGTACTCCACGGCGCGGAGGATCTGCAAAAAGGCGCAGGTGGCTGCCTCGGACAACGAAGAAGACCAAAAACCCAGGGAAAGGGCGGCGGTAACCAACCTCAAAAAGGCACCTCAGGTTTTGACCCAGAACCATGGCCATTGAGATGGCTGTGGTGGTCAAAACCGTTTTGGGATATCCCATTTTGGTTGGGATTGGTGAATTCACCACCCATTTTAGAACCTATTTTAGAGGTTGGATTGGCATGTTCACTGGGGGGTAACCGGGCTTTTGACCCATGGCCAAACGACTTTCCTTTGAGCTGTCCTCTTGGCATTCCACAAGTTGGTCTGTCACCGCAACTCTCACAGCTGTCAGAGTCAGTGGTCGCAGCCATGTGTTAGGGTGGTCCAGCACCCAAGCTCCCAGTAGAAAGTCTGCAAGGGACACACTTCACTGACTGTCTTTCCCTCCCTGTACTAATACGTGCTGACCAAACGCAAACAAAAACACAGAGCTTTTCCCTTTCAAAGTTCATACCACACCCTATTTGCAATCATTCACACTGGGCTGCGGAACAACGGACCCTAGGGCAGAGGGGCCTTTCCGCGAGGCTGGAAAAACCACCGGGGCCCAAGAGCGCAGGAGCGCAGGGGCGCAACGATCGACCTCCGGCTCTGCCGTGCTGCTGGGATCAGGTCTTTGGACTCCCGACAGCGGGCCTGCATGGCCTCCAGCAGGCTGCCTCCGGTGTACAGGTCAAAGACCAGGTAGTAGGAAGCCGCGTCCTCACACACCTGCCAATAAAAAGAAAGAAGCTACAATGAGACCTGCTCATGGTAAACTTGCTCATCTGGGGGTCGAATCCGGAGGGCGCAGTGAAAGCAAAAGCCAATGTCGCATCATCGTACCCCCGCCTCTTTCAGAGCTGCGATGTTGGGATGGGGAAGGGTCCTGACATGAGAGCAAGTGGCCATCCTAACTTGTGCCCTCGCTTTGAAAACTGCTGCCTCCAGCTGTAACTGGACTATCAGCTCGAAAAGAAACGGTGCGAAGCGGGTGCCATGCATGCGGCGCACTCCTGAGAATGGCAATCTGGGCCTCCAAGTCAGCCTCAAGGCGGCTAAAAGCGCGGCAAATGGCGTGCAAATCGGATCTGCTTGCTGGCTTTAGCCAAGCCGCCCTCCCAACCAAGGCCTTCCCCAGCGGCCTCGACAAAATCTCGCACCACACAGCCTTGCCTGCTTGACGTTTTCAATCACTAATCAACGCAGCCCAGCGTCTGGACCGCTGCTGTTCTCCTGGTGACCAGGTGCCGTGCCACGATAAAGCGACCAAAGTCGCCGTGCTTGGAGCCTGAAGCCACACGCCCACGCGCAGCTTGCCCTCCCATAGCAACCTCTAAGCACCCCGCTCAGGACTTCGTCCGGCTCATAGAAGCTCAGAAAGTCGCCATCTCCTGTTAGAGAGGGATGTGGAATCTCATGGTTGAGCGTGTGGCGTCAGGCTCAGCCGGCCTAAGTGGTTTTCCACAAAGTACCCCTCGGACAGCGCAGTGATCCTGCCCTTGCTGACGTACTTGCCTCTGGCAATGCATGGCGCACCACGAGGTGCCATTCTCAGCCCACAAGACGCCTTGCCTTGCGAGGCGCCACATCCCATCCCTTACAGGAGCGCCGCCGGGAGCCGGCAAGAGGGCAACAAACATGAACTGTGCAACGAAACCGGCTGCTGCTGCTGCTGCTGTGGTGCATGTTGCTTGCTTTGGACCTGGAGTGACATGCAAAAAGCAAGTTCTATGGCTGCCAGCTGCTTGGGCTTGTCATGCCAATGCTTATAAAGACAGTGCTTGAGCAAATGGTGCAGCTTTGTTTCGCGCAGCGAACAATTAAATCATGCAACAAGGATTTCCTTGGGCAAATTTTGCAGAGCCCCTGGTCTGGTAGCCAAGCTCTCGGCAATTTCGATGAGCGCAACAAAAACCAAACAACCCAAAACCGCCTCTTGGGCAAAGGCCCATACGTGGCCCGCTGGAAAGTGCAGGGACTGCAGTGGGTGCCTTGATCCCTCTGAAAGCGGGGCTTTCGCGGTTCAGCCAAGAGGCGGCGAAGTCCAGCTCACGGCCGTCCGGTGAAGAAGCGAAATGGCCCCGGTCGGAACCAAACCGCCTTGTCCTGGAACTGGTCGTCTTTTCCTCTGCCGTCATGGCTCCAGACTTGCAGCTGGCAGACTTGGGCCACATAAGTTCCCCCGCAACATCAAAGCACACGCAAACTTAT